GAAGAAGAATAAGGAATAATCTAATGTTATTCTGCTATCATTTGGATGAAGTTTTATTGTGTTTTTCGGTACTAATTAATTTTCAGGAGTATTGAAAAAGAAACAAGTGAGTAGTAGAAGAAAAAATGCATCGCCCGCCTCACGCAGGAATAGAAATTCCAACCTGTTGCTACACTTTTTCCCACATTTCCTTGTCAATCTTTTCTCCTCCTTTTCGAGCCATTTAACGCGTTAAGTAGCCTCTGAAAGAAGCGAGTAAGTGCCGCTGATTCAAGGCTCCATGCCGGGGCCTTTAAATTCATTTGGTTAACTTTGTGCGTTGACCTGGGAAAGAGTCCACTTAAAAAAAAAAGGGCTCCCTTTGCTCGGGAGCTACTTTGTCCCGGCATTCATCAATCTGCGGACAGTCTCTTTTCGTGCGCTTGGCAGCTATGTGGGGCTCCCTCCGTCTCCTCTGGCTCTGTCCACGTCTCGCTTTCTTTTCAAGCAGTTGCTGTTGGTCGCATAATGCGGCGTGAAGGCTAAATCTAATGCTATTCATTGCATGTCAGCCATCTAATCGCCTTTCCATTTTTTTTTTTGTCGCGCGGATTCCAGAGTTCCTTTTAACAAGGCGCCGCTCCATTCAGCGCAAATTTATTGCTACAAACTTCTTAAAAGGATAATGAATTTGGAATTAGCCGTCTCTCCTTTTCTCTCTATTCTTTTCTTTTGCGCAGATCCATTAATGAATATCACATCTGAAGCGTGACCAATTGCTGGAGCCCGCGCAATGGAGGCCCATTTAACCTCCATTGGACAAAGCTTTTATTATCATTTTTTTTGTGTTGTTGTTGCAGCTTTTAAATACAAAAAAAAGAAGAAAAAAACTTTGATTTTGACATTAAAGAAACGTTTTCCCTTCTCCCCCCTTCGCCCATTTAGGTGGGACGAAAACTGCTTACCGGGCGCAACAAAAACGTTCAATTCAAGCAGATAATCGAATTTAACGGGGGATAAAGTGTCGCTTAATATTTGGAGCCGGTACGTGGGGAACTTGCCGCCGGTGGGCTGTATGACTTGAGAGCCAGACAGGCATGTACTTCGAAAAACAGAAATACTCTGAGGGGAAAAAAAAGTGCATCAACATTTGACACAAAAATATTAAAACTCTTTTCGGATTTTATTTATTAATTTTAAGGAAGAAGAATTATGGCTCAATGTGTCGTTATGACTGAAAAATTAATGTAGTCAAACAATAAATTGAATTGTATTTGTGAAGAAGTACGAATAATATATTAATTTTGTCATCATTGTCAATCATGTTTGAAAATTTCATTAAAAATAGTTTTGGAATTGATTATAATTGTATGAATGAAGTAAAAATAATTAAATAAAAAAACAGATTTTTTTCTTTTAACTGATCACATTAACAAAATGTTGGCCCAATTTGGAGCCATAGTTGTAAAGATGAAATAAAGTAAAAAAATGAATAAAAAGCATGGTCATAATCAAAATTTTTTTGGGCCCCCAAACTGTTTAAAGAATGTAATTCTATTTTGTTAATTGATCCTGTGAGTACCATGATGGCATATTTTTTTGCTTTTGGTGCCATCGTTGAAAAGTATGAATAAGCTAAAAAAAAAATGTTGGTGCTATAATTATGAGTAATCCACAAGAAAATAAACAAAGGTACAAATGCAATGTAAACAAATGTTAACTGATCGCAATGCAATCATGGGGGAAAAAAAATCAATAACTTAAAAATATGACATTTGTTTTCACTGGCCAGACAATTATTGCTACTTTTGACGTATGTGCAGTTTGTTGACATTAATTGAATTTGTATTCTTTTTTTTTTTTCCTCCCAGAGGTGCAGAAGTTGTCCAGTCTGGTGCTCCCCAGCGAGGTGATCATAGCACAGAGCTCCATCCCAGGAGAAGGTCTGGGCATCTTCTCCAAAACGTGGATCAAGGCCGGCACGGAGATGGGACCCTTCACGGGTAAAGTCCTGTCCCCGGAACACGTGGACCTGCTCAAGAACAACAACCTGATGTGGGAGGTGAGTTTCTTGTGACGGTTCCATCCAGTTCCACATAGGTCATTCCTAAAGCTCATCCACATGTCTTTTTCTTTTATTTAATTCTTTTTTTTTTTCATGAAGGTGTTTAATGAGGACGGCACTGTGAGGTACTTCATCGATGCCAGCCAGGAGGACCAACGCAGCTGGATGACTTACATCAAGTGTGCCCGCAATGAACAGGAACAGAACCTGGAGGTGGTCCAGATTGGCAGCAGCATCTATTACAAAGCTGTGGAGGTAGAGGAGTTACTTTCGGTCCTGTGTGTGCATGCAGGGTTTCTTAACCTTTCACGTGATTATCTTGATTGTCAGCACCAGTGCTTTAAAGTTGGCAATTTAAAAGCAATTTTTAAGAAAATGGTAGCCGGTCCGTGAGCAGCATGTAACTTGTCTCAACTGGTCCGTGACATAAAAAAGCTTTGGCGATGACTACTTTAAAAGATGTCATTCATTCCAAATGAATTTTTCTTTCAGACTATCCCACCGGATCAGGAGCTGCTGGTGTGGTATGGAAACACGCACAACACCTTCCTGGGCATCCCCGGAGTGCCGGGAACAGACGAAGAGCAGCAGCAGAAGAAGAGCAGAAATGGTGAGAAACATTTTGGGAAATGACTTTGACAGTCAAAAAGAGAATGAGTTTATTCTTGGCATTGTTACGCAAAGATGAAAAGTTGCCAATGTTATTTTTATACATTAGAATTTGATGTGCAAATTCCTGTCTACAGTTGCGAGTAGTGCTATCTCAATTTATCTTTCCCCATTGAAATAAATGAAAATGCCGATGATTTATTCCCGCCACCCGAGCACGGTCTTATCTATATGTTGTTTTCCAGATGACTTGCAATCTTGCGAGTCCTCGTGCTCGCCGCCTTCCTCGTCGTCCTCGTCCGCCGCCGGCCTCCACACTTCAGGGCGCATGCGCTGCGTCATCTGCCACCGCGGCTTCAACTCGCGCAGCAACCTGCGCTCACACATGCGCATCCACACGCTGGACAAGCCGTTCGTGTGTCGCTTCTGCAACCGCCGCTTCAGCCAGTCGTCCACGCTGCGCAATCACGTGCGCCTGCACACCGGCGAGCGGCCGTACAAGTGTCACGTGTGCCAGAGCGCCTACTCGCAGCTGGCGGGGCTGCGTGCGCACCAGAAGAGCGCGCGCCACAAGCCGGCCGCCGCCGCCGCCACAGCCGCAGAGGGTACTCCACAGGCTTCGCCTCCACTTCCTCCTCCTCCCACCGCCGCCCAGCAGATGGCGCCCGTCGTTCGCCACCACCACCATCACGTGCCTCTGGTGCATCACATTCCTGCCTTGGTGCTCTGACAAGTAAGACAACGACAATAACAGTTAAGATGCACTTTAGCAAGGAGCTTGAGTGGACAAGAGAGTACACGTTTATTCCGATTGTGTTTCCAAAAAAAAAAACTTTCTGGGAGGACTCACCTGGCACGTGACCAAAGTGCTTTTGTTGAATAATATATTATACCACAATACTCACACAGCATATTCTTGCAGCAAAAATGTTTGTTTATTCCCCCTTGAATTATGTTATGATGAATATTCATCTGTCAGAAGACACTAGTCATGTTAATGATTAATCACAATCATTATCAACAATGTGAAATGTTTATATTTCGAGGGATTGCGTCACAATCTTTTTCGAGGAAATCCCAATGTCTCTTCACGTGTGTTACTTTCAGAATAGGCCCGTGGTCTAATCATGTGATCCTAATGAGCTGGCAGTTGGTCATGTGATTCAAACATGACCGGCACTTTGGGAGTTTACGTCACGTGATCAAAATTTTCCTTCCGCACGCTTAAGCAAATGTTATTTAATAGCACTTTTCACCGAGCGGACGTGCAGAATGCCCCGGATAGTTAATATATAAACATGCATTCAAAAACAACAGAGCCAAAAAGTGCTTAAACAATTGAGCTGAGGTCTCCTGGCACGTGACGAAAGACTTGCCGAAACACTGTCACGTGATCAACACTTCCAACCACTACACTGAAACTCAGATGTCACATGATCAAGCCAGCGAGCCAATTCGCGAGAGTTCATACGTGACGTTTTGAAAATGGCAAATAAGATCACTTGATCAAAAGTTCCAGCAAATACGCGTAAGTGAATCAATTTTATTTATATAGCACTTTTAACAAAAAAGTCTCGAAAGTGCTGAGTTAAATACAGGTTAAAAATATGCCTGGCACGTGACCAAAGACTTGGAAAAGACGACCACCCACGCGTCCCCTGTTCAAGACGGGACGCCAATCAGCGTGCGCGCACATGTCACGTGGTCAGATCCCACAAAGTTCGCGAGGCCACGTCACGTGACGCCAACAGAGCAGTTTCTAATCTATGGATTCCACATGTGATCGGACAAGAGTGCAAGTTTTGGAAGGAAGATTGAAATACAACTATGTAGTTGTAGGTCTCACACTTTTCAAATGAAATGTCACTTTACACTTGTACAGAACGAATAATTGTGTAATATTAAAAATAAATAAATGTATGGTATGATTCTCTCTGTGGGTGTAAATACAATTGTGCTTCTTGTATTGTAAATAAATCATACGAGTTTACTTGTTTGGGTGCTTGGTCATGAAATTATTACAGTTACAGCAGGAGAGTGCTTCAGTTAGTATGTTCAATTTGTTAGAAATACTTAAAAAAAATCTTTCCCTCCCACCCTCATTTTCAATATTTACACGTGAATGTTATTGTGATCATTACTTATATTTACCTTTTTTTTAAATCGCTAATTTTGAAATGATTCTATTATTTTAATTATTTTATCTACATCGAACTGATTGAAATTTCATCATCGAAAGCACTATTATTAGTTGTTCATAGGCATTGGTCTCATGAGTACCACGACACACCAAAGCATCTTTTGCAGCTTTATGTCTCACACACACACACACACACACACACACTGCAGTGACCACAACTGTTTTATTTATTTTTTTTCGGAATCAGTTGAGATGATCATGATTGGGAATAGGAATGGGAAGCTGTCACGCTTGTCAGCTGTCAGACGGGATCCGACTTCCCCACTGGGAGTTTCCGGAAAAGTCATCATTAGAACAAACGTGGCATCACCCAAGAAAAAAAGGATCAGAAGACATGCGGACTGGATGTTGTTTTGTCCTGCGACACGGTCCACACTTGCTGTTGTCCTGCATTGTGATAGATAGATAGATAGATAGATAGATAGATAGATAGATAGATAGATAGATTGATAGATTAAAAAATATATGCTGTCCTTCTAATGCCTTTTTTTCCCCCAAATTCACCTTTACAGCGGTTGAGTCATCCCGCTGCTGTCATCTTCTTCTGCTTTGTGCAGCAGCAAGAAGTGATCAAGTCAGCCATGTGGCTCAATGCTGCAACAAAGCTGATTATCATGCTTTCAATACGCCACTTGAACTTCAATGTATAGAAAAATGAAGCACTTACCTGAGAAAATTAGTCACAACATGATGCTTCTATGGTTTTCTTGCCTCTTCCTATATTAGCTGAAGGACAGGCTGGCTGTTGCCATGCAAATGCACTCAACCTAATGAATGACACAGCGTTTTTTTTGGACTCTGTGTGGTGATGTCAGTAACTTGAGAACTACAACAGTATCACTATCATGAGGGCTTTTAACTTTTCCATCGCGGTAAACATGAGTTTCCCAAGCCAACAGTTTCAACTATGGAATGGAACATTGTAAATTGCCCCTAGTTGGGATTGTGAGTGCTAATGGTTGTTTATCTATCTATCTATCTATCTATCTATCTATCTATCTATCTATCTATCTATCTATCTATCTATCTATCTATCTATCTATCTATCTATCTCAGATGCATTGATTGGGCCTTACGATTTTAGCTTGACGATATGTTCTGTTTTCGACTAGTACGGCCTTGTGGCTCCTCTGTGATATGTTGTCATTTTCCAAGCGGCTACCCGCCTGCCGCCTGCCCACCACAAGCCTACTTTGATCGAGCAGGTGAGTTTGCCCACGATATTGTCACCGGGTGGGTTAGCTCCACACGTCACCGAGCGTAAGCGGCGTTTCGTGAACGCGGTGAGTGGTTTTCCAAAAGGAAATTCCTGCAACTCGGGAGTTGAGCACGAAACGTCAGCTAGCGGCTAACCAGATAGGCGGCTAGCGGAGTTAGCGACGAGTTCGCGAGTGTAACGTCGGCGTTATCCGAACGGCATCAAATGCGTTCGATTCAGCACGTTTGCGGAGGCAAAATTGAACTTAACCTTTGGTTCGGGGGTTATTGCACATCCGTTTAAAAGCCGAGGGGTCTCTTTTGAGGGCAACGGTGACTTGTCAGGAGTTTTCGAGCCGCTGTCATGGACCTTTACCATGTTAGGTCATCCTCAATGGATGGCCTGGTTTAGCGAAGAAGCGCACACTCGTTTTAATTGCTTCTTGGCCGTTTACTGCACTAATTTGTTCCCACAAGGAACCGTTCGTCGAGCTCGTACCACATCTAGAAAAATGCAGTGGTTACATAAATGTGCGATTTTAATGGGTGGCTCTAAAGTCGGTATACACTTTTTTTTAAATTAAAGGAAGTTACACAAGTATTTAAATAAAGGAGGGATTGAACAAATTACTGAAAGATAGAGGGAGGAAGGGAAACAAATGGCATGAAAGGCAGAAGGAGGAAGGGATGATTGAAGGATGAAATGTAGAAAGTAAGGAGGAAAATAAGGATGGGAAGAACCAACAGATGGCTTGATGGAAGGAAGGAAGCAAGGATGTATGAAAGGAAGGTAAGTCTTATGTCAGGAATGAAAAAAAGTTAGAGTGGAAAGAAGGGAGACACCGGCACTTTCGGTGTCTGCATCAGGTCAACGCACATACAAATTCTTTAGAACATCAAAATGTACGAGTGCATTAAGATATTCAGCCAGTTTAATTCACTGCCGGCTGTTTTCAAAGCAGTTCTCCACATTGCCAGGCATTCAAAAGCATTTTGACTGTACTTCAAGAAACACAGAACATAATGAAAAGAGTGACTGTCCTCTTTCACCGGGGGGAAAAAAGAAAAAATTCTCACGTTTTATATATTTCTATTCTTCAACAGTTTCTGACATAAAATCTAGGATGTTAGGATGGAGTGTGGCCCATTTCTGCCAGACATTCTGGTGTTGGAGATTTTCCTGCGTCTGCCCCACGACGCCGTGCTGAGAGCGGGCCTCACCTGCCGCCAGTGGCTGGCCGTATCCAGAGACGAGTTCTTATGGAGGGAGCTCTTCTACTCCTACTATCGCATCCCCCGCACTGTACCCCAACACCCAGGTGGTCCTCTCACAAGTTCCTGTGACTGCTTTTTTTTTTCCCTTCCTTCCTACATGGAGTGACTCAACTGTGTGTGTGTGTGTGTGTTTGTGTGTGTGTGTGTGTGTGTGCATGCAGCGGCCGTGTCGTGGTACAGGGAGTTCAAGCGCCTCTTTGACTGTATCCCGTGTGTCGAGGTTCAAACGCTGAAGGAGCACAGCGACCAGGTACTCCATTTGGCCTTCTCCCATCGGGGTCACCGCTTCTCCTCGTGCTCCAAAGACTGCACTGTCAAGGTAAGCCATTTTTTTTTTTTTTTAAGTGTGTATGACAATCTTATCAGTTGTGGCATAATTCATACACAAGGCAACTCAATGTGTTTCACACAAGTAAAGAGAAGATGGATTGAAAAGCATTTACACCCGCGGGGCTGACTACACATTTGTCGCATTCCATTTCTATGCAGCATAACAGCTCAATGTTTTTTGTTTTTTTTTAAACTCTCAGAACCACGACTTGACACCAAGTCTGCAGACCTCAGGGCCCTACTGGGTTTTTATCCATTTCCTTCATGCATTCAGGACCAAAACCATTCAGTGATTTTATTGCTTATTTTATTTAAGCAAAAAAAAAAAAAGCATGCACGGTTAATCTTCTCACATGACAGGAGTGCATTAAAAAAATGTGTCAACAAAAAATTCGAATTAAAACAAAAACCAACTAAATTATATAGAAACTTTGTTCATTATTGGACTATATTGTGTGTAACCTTCTGTTGTCTTTTTAGCTTTGGGACACGGAGCGGCACGATGGCAACATCGCCTTGGTGCACAGCTCCAGCATGCGCCAGTTCAACTGGGGCTACACGCAGTTCTCGCAGTTCAACGCCGACGACAGCCTGCTGCTGGTGTCCGGCGTCTACCTGGGCCCGCACCACTCCTCCTCGGGGGAGATCGCCGTCCTCAGTCTTGGTACGTATGCGCAATCGGCAATGACGGCCCAGCCGGATGAGTTTGGCAATTTCGATCGGATGCCCGTCCGGCCTGACGTGTCCCCCCCCCATGCAATTCCACAGAGAACTACACTCTGCTGTCGCGGGTGAAAAACAAGCCGTACGACGTGTTTGGCTGCTGGCTCAATGAGACCCACCTGATCTCAGGCAACCTGCACTGGATCGGAAACATGACCTCCTGCTCCGTGCTCTGGCTCAATAAAGCCTTTCAGGTGTGGCATTAATATCAAAATACTGAAACATAAAAAAAAAAAGAATAAAAAAAAAAAATAAATTATTTATTTTTTGAAGACTGCAAACTCTACTTTTCATTCAGAGAGCATAACACCAAAATTTAACAATAATTAAAATATTTACTGAAAATAAAGACAAAAGTTAAAGAGAACAGCTTCAAATACATGGATGATTTGCCAAAAAAAAAAAAAGTTCCTCTGTACTTTACGGACAATTGCGTCGTCCCTCATCTTGGACAGGATATCGAGTCTGAGAACATCAACGTAGTGAAGCGCCTTTTCAAGATCCAGAACATCAACGCCAGCACCATCCGCACCGTCATGGTGGCCCACTGCCGGCGCCACGACAACCCCGACCTTCTGGTGGACTACGATGCTCAGTGCCAGGCCCGCAGGCAGAAAGGTCAGCAGCGTCAGCCGCATCAGCCGCTGCTCTTCGACTTGGGGACGTCCAGCAGCGAAGAGGAAGACGAGGAGGACGCGGTGAGCCCGAGAGACGGCAGATGTCACGGCACGGCCGCTCAAGCCGCCGTCTCCAGCCTGGAGCACTTGAAGGAGGTGAGCCGCATCCCGAGGTGGGAAGTCGACTTGCCATCTGTGACACGTGCAAGAGATTCTCAACAAATTGACCCTCATGTTTGCGTTCTCCACGCTAGAGTTGTAAGAACCTGGACCCCAGCCAGGTGGCCCTCGAGAGACAGGTGGCTCAGATGATGGGCCGGGTCCACACCAAAGCCCCGGACTCCAGCCTAATGGAGACCTCGGAGTCCGGCGACGGCGAAGACAAGACTTACTTATTGTTTACCACCGGCAGCCTTACGTACTCTCCTCACCAGATAGGTGAGCGTGTCGGTCGCGCCGCCGTCAGCCGCCTCGTCGTCAAGACGGCCATCTTAGCGTTTGCATTGCGTGCAGGCATTAAGAGGATCAAGCCGGACCAGATGACCACCTGCGGACCCGTGCTGGGAGAAGAACGTAGCTCCTACGAGTTCTTTGATTCACTGGACCACGTCATCGATATCCACGGGCACATCATCGGGATGGGTCTCTCTCCGGACAACCGGTCAGTCAATCGTGTTTGAACTCATCCATCACTGGGCACATGCAGAAAGCACACACACGTTGTTCCAAAATGAAGCTCCTCCCCCTTTCCCAATCATAGCTGCTAGGCACAAATGGGCCACCAGATGGCACCAAATCAATATTTAGCGTCAGACATGGATTGACCTGACCATTCCCATCCATCATGTGCCCGTATTTGATCATGCCAGTTGCGTGTTGACCAATCCGTTGGATGTGAACCCGTCTTGTGTTGCCTGTGGCCCAATCAGGTATCTGTACGTGAACAGCCGGGCGTGGCCCGCGGGCTGCATTATCTCGGACCCCATGTGCCCGCCCCCCATCGCCGAGGAGATCGACCTTCACGTAATCGACTTAAAGAGTCTGAGGGAGGAGCGGCGTAGCCTTCGCGCCCACCGAGCTTTCACGCCCAATGACGAGTGCTTCTTCATCTTTCTGGACGTCAGCAGAGACTTTGTCGCCAGGTGGGTCTCCCTCGCCACTTAAGATAAACACACACACACTCTCACAGCTAAAATGAGTCATAAAAAAACGTGAATAATTCGATTAGACGGAAAAAGTCAAAGCGAAAAATGTCTGGAAGGCTGTGACTCAAAATGGCCAAGTCTACTTCAACACGCTGACACCCACGTCACTCACCAGGCTTTTATGTACAATTATTTTTGTGCAGCGACCTTCAATGCTCTCAAAGGTGCCTATAAATAAAATTATTACTTTTATTTTTATTTTTTTAGAATATTTTGAGAACAAAGATAATCTTGTTAACAAGACTTATACTTGAATATAATCATATCAAGATTTTGTTTGAAAAATCTGCCATGATTTTTACTCTTACCCAAGAAAATAAATTTTGTCACTTTTTTTTCCCCTCCCCCAAAAATGTGAATTAATTTTTTATTTTCGCAAACTTTTCAAAAATTTCTCCCGGACTGAAAAATTTTGAAAGCCCCTTGGTGTAAAAATGTTCAGTTTAATAGACGCCAAGGTATAAAGTGAGCTCCCAACTTTTGGCAGCGGCGCCGAGGACAAGCACGGCTACATCTGGGACCGCCACTACAACATCTGTCTAGCGCGGCTGGCCCACGACGACGTGGTCAACTCGGTGGCCTTCAGCCCCGCCGACCAGGAGCTGCTGTTGTCCGCCAGTGACGACGCCACCATCAAGGTGTGGCGCTCCCCCCGAGCTGTGCGCCTGGCACGGGACGCCGCCCGTCGGCCCGCCCGCCGGACGCTCCGCAGCACCGGCCTACTGGCCTCCTGGCTCAACCGCGGTAGGGGCGTCAATGGCAAGCCTTGAGGGACGCTGTCTGGTCACCAGGGGGCGCCGTTTCTTAAGCGCCACACTTGGACCGCTGACAGCTGTGCTGTGAACAACTGTCACAAAATATTTTTAACAGGGAAAAAAAAGGACATTTCTTTTAGCTTTTTTTTTTTTTTACTTTTCCATGCAGAACTCCAGGCATGACATGGAAAAAAAAATCAACTGTGGCCACAGTAAAGATAAAATGTGTCTCCAAAATGATAATTAGTTGCCTGAACTGGACCTAGCAGACAAAAAAAAGAAAAAAAGAAAAAAAGAAATAGGCATGGCTATGAGAAAACTAATCAGTGGGCCTATGGCAAGGAGAAAAATGTTGCTGAACCTGCAAATAACATGAAACCTCAGAGGAATCCTTTTGGAGGCTCTCTAAAAACACACCGTATATCATGAACAAATCTTTTCTTTTTTTGTAATTGAGCATGTCCCCTCGGAGGTTGTTACAAGATGGATCCTGGATGTTATGTTTTTATCAACACGTGCTTCAATATTGAATACAGCAGGCTAATACGTATTTTATATTAAATATAAAAAGTGCACGGTGACAACAGAAACACTCGCAGGACATACCATTAGGCACACCTGTACCTTTTTTGTACCCCTCTTGTGTAGCCAAAATATTAGTAACGCAGTCAAGACATTGTTCAAGTATGACGGTGCCATCAAACACTGCTGCTGAGGTTGTGCAGGTGTACCTAATAATGTGTCCTGTGGACGGATATCAGTCGCGCAACCCCTTAATTTGTCTTTTTTTTCCTTTTAATTTAAAAGTTTCCATCCCTTAATTGGATGTGTGAAATTGTTTCCCCTTTAATAATCCCTCTAGGACTACAAATATTTTTTTTCCCCCACACATGACATATCCAAAATAAATATCGTATGTGTTCCAACTGCATACCTGATTCCTGTACTTATTTAAACTATACAGTATTGTTGTGCATCATTAGTGTTTTCATTTCAACAGTTTAAAATACTAATTTTGATATCCATTGAAATACATTTCAAATACTAATTTAGATTTTTTTTTAATAATGTATTTCCTATTTATATTTTGCGAATGAACTACAAAGGTGCCTTGAGATGCAAGTTGAATTCATTCACTCCCCCTTCAAGTTTTTTTTTTTTTTAATAAGAAAAATAGTACTATTATGTCACCGTAAAAACGTATGGTAAAGAATGTAGACGATTAAACGAAATAAAATGTCAAGACGTAAACAGTTCTTTGTTGACCTCAAATCATTGAATTGACATTGGGCTGTCATTATTTGTAGTATTCTAGCCTTTCAGGGCTATACTAAACGGATGAAAAAATAGGATGCAAAAAATTTCCGAGTACCAGTATGGATGCATATTGTCCTGTTCCTTTTGTCAGTTCAATCTTTTGGGCTTCCAAAAGTCTCTCGGAAGTTTTGTGACACATGCGCACACGTGTTCGTACTCAATCTTGTGATGATGCGTGTTGTGTTGCTTTTAAAGACCCGTAAATGAGTTGACATCATCTTTTCCACTTGTGTTTTAATTAAAAAAAAACACACACACAAAAAAAAAAAACAGCAAAGTAGAGTAACGGATAAAATATTAGCTGTACTACAGAATTAACAAAAAATATTTTGACTAAATGCACAGCACAACATCGTTTCTTTATAGAAACAAAAAGTACAAGTAAGGCATAAGAGCCAATACAAGAGCCGCACGCAATAATGAAGATATATGTTTGTACTTTTCATTTCACTACATGTATGACCGTAAAATATGCTTTCGTATTTCACATACAAATTCCAAATTAAAATATTTTGTTCACATAATTCAACACATTTCTCTTTGTTTATTATTTGTAAATTTGTAATGATCTATAAATAATATATACATAATAACAATAATATATCAATAATATATCATTTTATTTAAAAA